GGAACTAGCTCTTGTAGACCAGGCTGGTCTCGAACTCACAGAGATCCGCCTGCCTCTGTCTCCCGAGTGCTGGGATTAAAGGCGCGCGCCACCACCGCCCGGCTAGAAGACATTATCTTCTATAAAATTACATGTACTCAGAGAAGAGCACACTATTAAAAACAGTTTTAAGAAGCTGGAAAGATGATTCAATGGTTAAGAGCACTTACTGCCCTTGCAAAGGATCCAAGTTCAGTTCTCAGCATCCATGCAGGGTGGCCTACAAGCACCTGCAACTCCAGCCTCATGGGATCTGACATCCCTGGCCTCTGCAGGTACCTGCACTGACACACACATAGCCTCACAAAAGACACACACACACACACACAGAGGGAGAAAGAGAGAATAAATTTTAAAAAAAGAGAAAAAAAGGTTTAAGAACATATCACTGAAGCCACAAGCGGACATGCCTATAATCCCAGCACTCAGAAGGCCAAGATGGGAGGACACTGTGAGCCTGAGCTACACAGCAAGTCTCAGGCTAGCCTGGGTTACACTATGAGATCCTCTCTCAAACAAAACAAAAGCTGGGCATGGTGGTACACCCTACAACCCCAGCACCTACCTACCAGGGAGGTAGAGAAAGAAGGATCCTGAGTTCAGGGCCACCTTCAGCTACTTTCTGAATTAAGGTCAATCATTCAAACAGGGAGGGCTACATGAGACCCTGTCTCAAACAAGAAAAACCATAAAGATTGTACAATTACAAAGACCTGAGTTTGATCCCTAAAAAAAAGAGCCTGGCATAAAAACAAAAAAAAGCTGGAAGCTGAACGTGAATAACTATGATGCCAGCACTCAGGAGGCAGAGGCAGAATTTAAGTATGTCTCCTAGTTACATGGGAAATTCAAGGCCAGTTGTGGCTACACGAGACTTCACCACCAGAGAGAGCACCCATGGGGGCCAGAGTACTGGGGAGGTGCAAACAAGCCAGCCTTGAGGCAGTTGACTTCTGCCCTCCATATACACAACACACATGGGCACACACACAAACCAGTACAGTTCATGCAGCTCACCACAACCTGTATCTCTAGTTCCAGAGGATCAGATATGACTTTTTACTTCTGGAAACATTAGTCATGCACATGGCACATAGATACACAAGCAGGTAAAATACCAATACACATAAAATTAAATAAATTCATTTTGGGTAGCAATTTAGTTTCATAGTATTATGCTAGCCAACAGTATATGTTTTTCAATCATATGTATAATCAACAAAGAGATTATATGAAGTTTGGCAGTGGTGGCACACACCTTTAATCTCAGCACTTGGGAGGCAGAGGCAGGTGGATCTCCATGAGTTTGAGGATAGCCTGGTCTACAGAGCGAGTTCCAGGAGAGACTCCAAAGTTACATAGAGAAATTGTGTCTCAAAAAAAAAAAAAAGTATGAATCCATATAAAGACCTTTCAGACTATGGGGACGACATGATGGCTCAAAGTAAAAGCACTTGCCATGCAAGCAAGGATCAGAGTTCAATCCTAGAACCTGCATAAAGATGGAAGGAGAGAGAGAGAACCGAGTCCACAAAGTTGTCCTCTGACCTCCACACACATGACATAGCATGCATACCTATCCACATGAATCATGAACACAAACACACACAATAAATTTAAGTTAAAACTTAAATCACAGACTGGTTCATGTAGTCATTTAAACATTATAACCTGAAAAAAATTCATCATTAAACATTCAAAAAATAACAAATAAAATAGGAACATAAGGGCAAACCTACAAATCAGATAAAGCAAAGTCCAGTTCCATAAAATTGAAGATTCTAGCCCAGTGGTAGTGGTACACATCTTTAGTCCCAGCACTTGGGAGGCAGAGGCAGGAGGGTCTCTGTGAGTTCAAGGCCAGCCAGGACAGTCAAGGTTACACAGGGAAACCAGTGTGTGCCTGTGTGTGCCTGTGTGTGTGTGCGTGCGTGCGTGTGTGTGTGTGCGTGTGTGTGTGTGTGTGTGGCCCCGTAGCTCCTGACAACAACGTTTCCCCCACTCCTTCACCGCTCAGCTCGGGAAAGGTAGAAGCCAGTGAGCCCAGCCTTTACATTTTCCACAAGTCTTTGACAAGATGCAGGTTAGACCAAGTGACAAACAGCAGCAGAATTCCAAGAGCCAGACAGGCTTTGTTTGCATTTCTACCATAATCTCCTGTGCTCGCAGGCTCGCCCTGTGCCCCTTGATAAATTAGCTTGGTAACCAAGTCGGGAGCAGCCTGGGAGATCTACCCGTGGAAAGAACCTAGAGGATGCCCAGCCCCACCGCCCAGGGCTCTGCTGGAAGAATTCCAAGTCTACTATTCACAGCAGGCTTCTTTTTCTCTTTGGAGTCTTTGAGAATCTGTTAAGATTTATGGACCCAGAATAACAAATCACATACCAACGTTCTGAATACTTATCTCAGGGTTTGGTTTGGAGGTTCCCTGTTAACACACTGCTCCTCCTCTTCTGATTGTGATGTCTCCACACCCTGTTTTCTTATCAGAGCTCTGCAACACTATTAGACTTCAAGTCAACTAAAGACACCGAGAATGGCAGAGTATAAGGCGAAGAAAGTCTTGCCTATAGCGCTCATCCTGGATGCATTTTTATAGATCTCATCTATAACTTTCTTGGGACTTTTTAAAAATCACTCCATAGTATATTTTTATTGTTAATAGGTAAGACATTATTAAAACAGAAAAAGCAGGAACAAAAGGGCAACCACAGAAATGAAAAAGTGTTTCAAATTCCGTGTTAAAGAAAGCAAGCCTGTAACATTACAAGTTACCCATAACGGAGGCATTTCTCGGAGGCAGTGTTTCGTGCCATTCCCACTTCTCCTTAGGACTGATGGCAAACTCACAGAACAGCTAACAGCCTTTTCAAAGCAAACTGAGCCCTGGGATCCAACTGTCAGTACCAGCAAAACTTCTGGTTGGTTCTCTTCTGCTGAGTTATAATAAAGTAATGAGAATTTTTTAAAAAAAAAAAATATTTATTATGTATACAGCATTCTGCCTGTATGTCTGCCTGCAGGCCAGAAGAGGGCACCAGATCTCATCATGGGTGGTAGTGAGCCACCATATGCTTACTGGGAATTGAACTCAGGACTTCTGGAAGAACAGCCGCTGCTCTTAACCACTGAGCCATCTCTCCAGCCCCCAGTAATGAGAATTATTACTTTGGCTTTAGCATTACTTATTAGAAATAAAAGCAACTGAAAATAATAGATTTAATGACCAGGAGATCAGGAGACACAATTTCCTTGGAGCTGCAAGAATGCTTTGGCTGTACAGTGATTTCTCTCTGTTCAAAAAGGTTCATTAGAACTGTGTATTTTTCCACAGAGAAGCACAGCAGGTATCTAGGAAATATGTGAGGACGAAGGAGAGGAAGAACAAAAGAAAGTGAATCTGGCTGGGCCTCGGTGGCACAAGCACTCGGGAGGCAGAGGCTGGTGGACCTCTGTGAGTTCAAGACCAGCCTGATCTACAGAGAGTTCCAGGACAGCCAGAGCTGATACAAGAGAAGCCCTGTCTCGAGAAGAGAGAGAGAGAGAGAGAGAGAGAGAGAGAGAGAGAGAGAGAGAGAGAATCTGGATCTATAGGTATAGCTCAGTTGGTGGAGTGCTAATCTCGCATATACAAGGCCCTGGGTTCGAGTCTCAGCACTATGTAAACCGCTTGGTGGGGCACACCAGTAATCCCAGCACTGAGGCAGGGCGAACAGAAGTTCAAGGTCATCCTCCACAACTTAGTAATGAGTTTGAAGGTAATCTAGACTACTAAGAGTCTGTGAAGAAACAGTGGGAGAAATAGAGTGGGAAGAGGAAAAGATGGGGGAGGGAGAGCAGGGAGAAAAGAGAGGGGAGAAGGAGAATGAAGAGAGGCGGGAAGGGAGTGGGGGAGGGGAGCAAAACCACACCCATTCGTGTAAAAGGAACTGGTTCTGTAAAGGAGCGATGACAGGATGGAGGCCCAGTGCCTAAGAACCTGAAACTGCCCACTGTGGACATTCTAGGAGGGTGTGGAGGGAGGGACACCCAGGACCAGATTCTCTAGGGTCGTACACATCACTTTATCTAACTTGTCTCCAAGTGACTTCTTCATCCCCAGCTTCCATCGCTGTAGCAACTAAAAGCAGTGCCTAACTGCTGTTTTTCTACCCCAGGAAAGTAGGTCAACTGAGTTCCAAGAATGTTAGTTCTGGTTATCGGAGTTTTAAGAATTTTAAACCTTCCCAAGGAAACCCATGGGCTGTTTTTTTTTTTTTGTTTTTTTTTTTTTTTTTTTTTTTTTTAGCAAAAATGGTTCACAAAACAAAGCAAAAACCACAGTCTGTTTTTTCCTAAAATTGTCTTCTTGAAAAAATACCCACTGACAGCTGAGTCAGGAGCCTGAAACGCAACATGCGTATCAATTTGATCACAATACAAATATCAAAGATGTCCACATTTTCGCGCCTAAGCTTATGGCACTTGAGAAGCATGCCGTGATCTAGTTCTCTCACCAGCACACAAGAACCAGAAAGACGTCCTTTTGACTCTACCTGGAACCCACTGTGCAAGTTCAACCCATACACAAATTGTCCGACAAGTTGAACTGGGCTAGCACCCGGAAAACCGCAAAAGCCAGAAACGATAAACAGAAAGTACTTCGTTGTCTAAAACACAAGCACTCAGAGCGATAATGAAAGAGTGTTCGCAGAGAGATGGGAAAGGAGGTTTCGGTGGCTGAGGGAGAGGAGCTACCGCGGGGCTACGGGAAGAAGGCAGACGGACGGCAACGCCCCCTTCCTTAGTGGAAAGGGAAGGAACTGGGGCGTGGAAACGGCGGCTTCCCGAACGAGGAGGCCGAGCAGCGGCGGCCTCGAGCCCACAGCTCCCCAGCTCACAGGTCCCCCGCCCTGACCCTGGCCCGACCCCCGACCCGGCGCCCGCTCCTCCGCCGCCGCCGCCGCCGCCGCCGGCCTCACCAGCTGCAAGCCTTTGAGAATGCGCCGAGACCACGGGAGCCGGCCCAGGAAGAAGTAGGCGGCCAGGCCGCTGCGCGCACCCCGGCCCGCGCCCGGGGCCGCCTCGGTCGTGGGACTGTACACCGCTCCGTTCTCCATAGCCGCTAAAGTCGCTCGCCCAGCAAAAGTCTCCGCGGCGCAGCAGGGGGGCGTCACTTCCTGAGACTCCGCCCCCGCTTCCGGTCAGCTCCGCCCTCGTCACGCCCACTCGCTCGCCGCGCCCCGGCCCGCAGAAAGTCCCTTGGTTCGCCACACCCCTTACCACGCCTCCCAGCTTCGCCGCACCCCCAGTTCGCCACGCCCCCTCCACCTTTCCGGCTCTCCTGTTAACTCTTGAAATGCTGGTAATTGAGTTCCATGCTTTCTGTGGACTTTTCTTTTTCTGTGGCTTTTTCTTTTTTTCTTTTTTTGGTTTGGGGGTGGGTTTTTTCATTACATTTTTAACCTACATAGGGGCACTCTGTGGAGGTCGGGAAACTATTCGGGGAGTCAGTTCTATTTCTTCGTGTGGGTCCCGAGAACTGAGTCATCTTTAGGAGTGGCGGCTGGTGTCTTTACCCACAGAGCCATCACTCCGCCCAGGCTTTAAGTTTGGTTTCGATCTGATTTTTTTTTTTTTTTTTTGAAACAAGATCTCACCATCCAGACTAGCCTAGAGCACAGTAGTAGCTCCTGGAATTAGTGCCAATCGTCCAGCCTTGATCTCTAAAGTGCTGGGGTTACAGGCATGCACTCCTCCATACTCAGCCTGTTTTGTGTTTAAAAGGTGTCGGGGATGGAACTCAGGGCCTTCAGCATGCTAAAACCCACACACCCCTGTTGAGCTGTACCCCCAACCTCCTCCCATGGAGTTCGCATTTATTTTTCACTTCCCACTATCGTGGGATATTTGCACGCTGTGTGAAGTTGTACTTGCTGTGATTGGTTTAATAAAAAGCTGACTGGCCAGTAGCTAAGCAGGAAGTATAGATGGGCTGTCCAGGGAAAGAAAGGAAGAGGAGGAGAATGTAGACCTACAGAGACGCCAGGAGGTGTGGAAGGAGCAGGGTGGGCAGTAAGTATCAGACCATAGATTAAGAGAAGTGGGTTAATTTAAGTTATAAGAGATAGTTAAAAACAGCCTAAGCGGGGGCTGGAGAGATGGCTCAGAGGTTAAGAGCACTGGCTCTCTCTCCAGAGGTCCTGAGTTCAATTCCCAGCAACCACATGGTAATTTCTTCTGTAATGAGGACTGGTGCCCTCTTCTGGCCAGAAGGCGTACACGCGGACAATGCCAACAAGCACTTTGTCAGCTAAGCTGTCTTCCAACTCCTATTTTTCAGTATTGCCGAATGTCTATAGTACAACTGAAAACCAGGTCTCGGTATTAAGTTTACTGCCGTGTGCCAACTAAAGACACAAAACCATTCCCAGCAGGACACTAGGCAGAGTAATGAAAGTCCTAAAGGACAATAAATAAACAGATTAATCAGAATATTAGATATTGATAAATGACATGAAGGAAGATATTGACCATGCCAACCTATGATTTTTCAATTTTAGATTTTTTTATTTTATTTATTTATTATGCATACAATATTCTGTCTGTGTGTATGTCTGCAGGCCAGAAGAGGGCACCAGACCTCATTACAGATGGTTTTGAGCCACCATGTGGTTGCCGGGAATTGAACTCAGGACCTTTGGAAGAGCAGGCAATGCTCTTAACCACTGAGCCATCTCTCCAGTCCCCAATTTTAGATTTTTTTTAACTTTAGATTTTTTTTTTTTAGATTTATTTATTTATCATGTATACAGTGTTCTCCCTGCATGTATGCCTGCAGGCCAGAAGAGGGCACCAGATCTCATTACAGATGGTTGTGAGCCACCATGTGGTTGCTGGGTTTGAACTCACGACCTCTGGAAGAACAGTCAGTGCTCTTAACCTCTGAGCCATCTCTCCAGCCCCAACTCTATATTTTTTTTAACTGATAGTATAGAATCCATCTATATTCAGCAGAAACCACTTTTTGACCTGGAAATTGGCTCTTTTCAATAAATGATGTGAAATAGTCTACTACTATTTTGTGAAACTGGGTTTATTGTTTTAAAATGTTTTCCCAAACATGGGCTAATGTAACTAACTATGTTTAGGAGAGGCTAAACAAATATTATTTCACTATATTTAGCTATATTTAACAGGGTTAAACACATTTGCAACTGTTCATAATTTTTATGAAACAAATTGTTGTATCAATCAACAGACTGCTGAACTGACCAGACAATTCTCGAAAGATAAACAGCCAATGAGAACTTGAATAGTTCAACTTCCTTAACTTCAGGAAAATGCAAATTAAGGCAGCTGTGAGACCGGGCTCTCCCCAGGCAGAAGGAGCAAATGTCACAAAGGGCCAGGGAAGACAGACCTCTGTTCTCTACTGTGAGAGTGCCAACTTGTGCGTCAGCCGTGGAAATCAGTGCGGGGTTCCTCAAACCACTGAAAACAGAACTCCCGTTCAACCACTATGCCATTCCTGCGTATTTACACAAAAGCCTTTGGGTCAACGTACCCTAGAGTTCCTTGCACATGTTTCTAGCAGAATGTTCCCAATAACCAGGAACTGGAGCCAGCCTGGATGCCCACCAACAGAGGAACGGGCCAAGAAAATGCAGTACGGATACACAGGGAAATGTTTTTCAACAGTTTTTGTGTGTATGTGTGTATGTGTGACATATGCAGGAAAAAGAATACAACTGAGTGTTGCTGTTAAGTGAAATAAGGCAAATTCAAAAGACGAAGACCATATGGTCTCTGATATGCAGATCCTAGATTTAAAATGGTATGTATGGAACCGAGAGATGACTCGCTGGTTAAGAGCAATTTCTGCTCTTTTATGGGACCTGAGTTCAGTTTCCAGCACCCACATATAGTAACTCACAAGCAACCCATTACTCCAGTTCCAGGGGATCCAGTGTCCTTTTTTGGCCTACACACACACACACACACACACACACACACACACAAAGAGAAAGAGAGTGTGAAAGAGAGAGACAGAGACAGAAATACAAAGAAAAAGGTTAAAAAATAAAAGTTAACTAAATTTGTATGCCTGCATATGTCGTGTGTATCTGTATACCATGCATATGCCGCTGCCTGCAGAGGTCAAAGAGGGCATCAGAGTCCCTGGAACTAGGGTCACAGGCAGCTGTGAACTGCCATGCAGGTGTTGTGAATCAATCTTGGGTCCTTTGTGAGAGCAACAAGTGCCACTGAGCCATCTTTCCAGTCTCAGGATAATTTTTAAATCTAATTTAAATTTGTGCTTGTGTGTGTGTTTACATAGGTGTATTTGTAGATCATGAAACTAAAAAAAAAAAAAGAGCTCATGACAGCACTCAGGAGGCAGAGGCAGGCAGATCTCTGTGAGTTCAAGACCAGCATGGTCTACAGAGTTAATTCCAGGGCAGTTAGGGCTACACAGAGAAGCCTTGTCTCAAAAAAAAAAAAAAAAAAAAAAAACCTAAATAAATAAATAAAAGAGAGGGAAGAAGATGCTGAGAGAGATGGGAGGGAGGACGCAGAGGGCAGGAAACAGAACTACAGACTGAGGGAAGAGAGAGCGCCAGCTGGAGGGGAGGGAAACAAATGAGACCCAAGAACAATGAAACACATATGAAATGCCGCAGTGAAAACCACACTTCCTACGCTGACCTAAAATATGAAGATTGGGCTGGAGGTGCAGGTCAGTTGGTGGAAGGCTTGCTTAGAACGCATGAAGTCCTGGGTTGCATCCCCAGCGACACATAAAACCTAGTTGATGGCACACACACACGAATCCCAGCACCTGGACGTGGACCAGAAGTTCAAGGTTACCTTCGGGCTACACAGCAACTGAGTTTGAGGACAGTCTGGTCTACATCAGACTTGGTCTCAAAACAAAAATTAATTTAGTCCAGCAAGATGGCTCAGGCAGTAAAGGTGTTTACCTCACAAGTGGAAGGAGAGAGCAGGCTCCTGAAAGTTGTCCTCCGTCCTTCATTGTGAAATAAGGTTTTTGTACACTGTGAAGACATGTCACTCTGATTGGTGAAACAAAAATCTGAACGGCCAATAGCTAGGGCAGGATTTCCGGGCAGAGGGGATGCTGGAAAGAAGTATGAGGAGACACGAGCAAGCAGGATGGGTACTACGGAGATAAGGTAATAAAGTCATGGGCAGAAAGGAAATTAATAGACAGGTGAAGCTATAAGAGCTAGTTAGAAACAAGGCAAAGCTATTGGCCAAACTTTCATATTTATAATAAGCCCATGTGACATTTAGGGAGCCAACAGTCCCGCTGAAAAAGTCCCATGACAGCCGGGCGGTGGCGCATGCCTTTAATCCCAGCACTCGGGAGACAAAGGCAGGCGGATCTCTGTGAGTTCGAGACCAGCCTGGTCTACAGAGGCTGGTCTACAGAGCTAGTTCCAGGACAGACTCCAAAGCCACAGAGAAACCCTGTCTCGAAAAACCAAAAAAAAAAAAAAAGTCCCACGACAATCCTCCATATGCACAGTGTGTAATGTATACACACCCATACCCATGCACACCCTCATAAGAATAAATTTCCATTTAAAAGTTTGATATTTCAGACATGGAAAGACAATTATCACATGTACTCACTCATAAGTGGTTTTTAAACATAAAGCAAAGAAAACCAGCCTACAAATCACAATGCCAGAGAACTTAGACAACAATGAGGACACTAAGAGAGACTTACATAGATCTAATCTACACGGGAAGTAGAAAAAGACAAGATCTCCTTAGTAAATTGGGAGCATAGGGACCTTGGGGGAGGGTTGAAGGGAAGGGAAGAGGCAAGGAAGGGAGCAGAGAAAAATGTAGAGCTAAATAAAAATCAATTAAAAAAAGAAAAAGAAAAAAAAGTTCGATATTTCAAATTTATGGTGGGTTCACAGGGACCCTGTACTGGTGATGCAGTGAAAAACACACACCTGCAGATGGAAGGGTCCCTTCATAAATGGGTGGTGGGGAAAGGTGTCTCTGAACACCGCGGTGTTAGTGTTGAACGAGACCCCATGTGTGGGGAGGCCCTCAGGTTTACACTTCAGAGTGGGAGATAACCAAAGAACAGACAGGCAAATGCACAGACCAATAAATACAAAAATGCTTA